CATCTGAAGCGATCATCCCCTGAGAGGGGGATGATGCAGAACCAGCTCACAATTTTTTTTATCTTTTTTCAATGTTTATATAGGCAAACGAGCTGACAGTCCACCTGATGGTAAGTGGTCACTGCCGCCCTTGGACAATTGCAACACCAAGGGCACCACTTACGCGTTGCCAGCTCTGAAGGAAAAGGTGTAAACCTTTAAAAGGCGGTTAACCACCTCTTCACTTTGTTATAAATATGTGAGTTTTAGTTAAATAAATAATAAATATTTCCAACACTCACACCAATTAGCCTAGCCCCAAAGTAAGCACTGTAAGGCTTTGTGTTATGGGATACTAGGGTAACGGATAGAATACATATACAGTACATATATATTTTATATAGAAATTCATATAAACATCCATGACTGTAGTACAAATGCTCGTATTCATAAAACAAACATCTGCCCCCACCGGGATTCGAACCCGGGACCTCTCGAGTCAGCGACACCATGAAACCCGGCGTACAAACCACTCGGCCACGGAGGTCGTCATTAATTAGTTAGTTTTAATTATTAATTAGTAGAAGAGTAACTATTAAAAGATCAACACCACAATACCAGCTCCTACCTATTGACCGAATTCCGAAGGCGGTTCGACTTATTGTCGATCCTGGGGGCCATACGCATAACGTCATTGCTATGGCTATCGCTTAGGATTTTATTTTATGATTGTGACCGCCGAAGGTTTTTAAATGCTTCGCGCTCAATTTTTTTCTTTTGCATTGGTAACTGAATCGTGTTGGGCGATTGGCCCTGTCTGCTTTTTAGTGAACAAAGGTGGCAGCATCTTTTTGGAGTTTACTCCTTAAGGGTGCGGCCAGAGTGCACTCAGATTCAGATTCTGAAAACAAGCGCGAGAAATAAACAGTGTAGTCTAAGCAGGTTGCCTGCTTTTTCTCGCGCTTTGTTTTCTGAATCTGAATCTGAAACAAAGTAGTGAACAAAGGTGGCAGCATCTTTTTGGAGTTTACTCCTTAAGGGTGCGGCCAGAGTGCACTCAGATTCAGATTCAGATTCTGAAAACAAGCGCGAGAAATAAACAGTGTAGTCTAAGCAGGTTGCCTGCTTTTTCTCGCGCTTTGTTTTCTGAATCTGAATCAGAAGTGCACTCTGGCTGTACCCTTCGACTACACTGTTTATTTCTCGCGCTTGTTTTCGAAATCTGAATCTGAGTCTGAATCTGAGTGCACTCTGGCCGTACCCTTAGGGTGCCTGCTTTTTCTCGCGCTTTGTTTTCTGAGTCTGAATCTGAATCTGAATCAGGAGTGCAATCTGGCCGTACCCTTCGACTACACTGTTTATTTCTCGCGCTTGTTTTCGAAATCTGAATCTGAATCTGAATCTGAGTGCACTCTGGCCGCACCCTAAGAATCGATTTGCATATATAAGGGGCCCGGTATGAGAAAAATGTGAGGAGTGAAATCTATCGATGAATGACCTCGTTACGTTTTTACTGTCTACGCTGTAGCAGCCGTAGTGCTACACCGTAGCACAGTATCGTAGCGTACCTTTATTGCCTACGACGACAAAGAAACCGCGTCGGTGTACCACCGCGCCATTCGTTGAACACAAAACCATTGAGCTTTAGAAGTAAACGTGGATATGGCATTTAAAGTATCAATCTTTTTTAAGTTAAATAAACTCTTTTTGCGTCTGGTTAGACTATCGAATTTAAGGAGTAAAGTCCAGTCTCCAGTAGTGCGTCGGAGCTGTCACACACATTTTTTTTTTATGTATCTTCGCGACGAAGCTTCATGTGTCGTAATGAATTAGCGGGCTACTTCGTGTCTTCGTGGCTACACGCTAGGCGATAGCTTGTAGACCGGGAGATGATGACACAAAATACTTGGTCATTTGTACCAGTATGGCGGTTCTTCAGGGGTCTAATTACGTAAAGGCAAAAAGGAAAATGATGGTCATAGCGCTCGCACCGGCGGCCCAATCGCGTGGGCGTTAATCGAATGCGTCGGATAAATGACGAGTGTCGAACGATTTGTTCCACAAAAATGCTTATATTTTCAGATAGTCGAAAAAAAGAAGTAGGCGGTAGCGTAATGCCATACTTCTCGGGTGTGACTTACAGCCCGCCATACCGACGCGAATACATTAATTTAAATAAAACAATTCAACCATTTGTACCAGGCTAATTTTTGCACAGCTAATCATCGTCGAGTAGCCATTCACGAAAATCACCTTGCCATACTTTTCCGACAGTTCCCAATGGCCGCCATACCGCTGCAAAGGAGTAATTTTTTTTTTTCGCCAAACGATTTGTACCAGTATTGCATTTGAATTTTTGGAAAGTATTTGGCAAAATGTGACCGTTATTATTTTTCCCATACTTCTAGTAGGGGCCATACTTGAAATACTTATTTATTTGACACGTTTTAAAAATACGACTGCAAAATACGTAAAATCATTTTTTACATCATGACATCATTGTATACTCGTCATTTGGATGCAATTGTACGTAAAAAAAATTATTACAGATTGTAAACATGGGGCGGATGACTGTCGGACTTGAGCTAAAAGGTGAAAAAGAAAAAAAAATTTGACGATTTGTACCAGTATGGCATTTAGATTTTTGGAAATTATACGATACAATGTGACCATTATTATATTTGCCATACTTGTAGTAGAGGGAAAAAGTGGCGCCATACTGGTACAAATCGTTCGAATTACGAATAAAATCGACTTTGAAAAAATATTGTTCACATTCGCCACCTCCCACAGGTATGGCATTATCAGACTTCTAATTATGATCATACGGGGAACTGTTAAAAAAAGTTTCAGGGTGGTACAAATCGTTTGGCGAAAAAAAAAAAATTTTACTCCTTTGCAGCGGTATGGCGGCCACTGGGAACTGTCGGAAAAGTATGGCAAGGTGATTTTCGTGAATGGCTACTCGACGATGATTAGCTGTGCAAAAATTAGCCTGGTACAAATGGTTGAATTGTTTTATTTAAATTAATGTATTCGCGTCGGTATGGCGGGCTGTAAGTCACACCCGAGAAGTATGGCATTACGCTACCGCCTACTTCTTTTTTTCGACTATCTGAAAATATAAGCATTTTTGTGGAACAAATCGTTCGACACTCGTTATTTATCCGACGCGTTCGATTAACGCCCACGCGATTGGGCCGCCGGTGCGAGCGCTATGACCATCATTTTCCTTTTTGCCTTTACGTAATTAGACCCCTGAAGAACCGCCATACTGGTACAAATGACCAAGTATTTTGTGTCATCATCTCCCGGTCTATTGACTAACTTGGTATATTTTGCATTGGTAACCGAATCCTGTTGGGCGATTGGCCCCCAGATGAGCTTTGGGGCGTTGCATTTTTGTGCGTGTTGTGCCGTCTATGCCAGGGGAGGCCAACCAGCGAACCCAATGTGTGAAAAAATACATAAGAATAACCTTATATCGCGTACGCTGCGGAAGTCTGATAATAGAGCAGTGATGTAAGTATTAAACTTTTATAGAGGTATTCAATATTTTCAAAAAGATCCCGTTTTAACAATACAAATTAAAATACAGTAGAGTGTTAAGAAACGTCATTTACTCCACTACATTATCGCTACTTAAACGAAACCTCTAACCGTGGTATTTATAAATAAGTAAAAGACACTGCTAAGAAATTGGTTAAGTACCAAGTCATTATTTGATAGTAGATATCAATAAAAAATGGTTAACTGCAACGAAAATAGTGACAACCATAGAAGTATAAGAATAGAGTGGGGAAGGCAGCTCTAAAGAAAGATTCTCAGTAATGAATCTAGTCTTCAGCATAGATAGAAAGGAATGTCGCTATATAAAGCATATAGCGACATCCCTTTCTAACTGTACTCAAGTAAAGATCAACACTTAGTTGTTATTCTGTAATACGGGCCTAAGTGTCCGTCTAGTAGAAAGAGAAAGAAGATGAGAGACGACTAGCTATCTCTCTCTCTTGTGACGCATGGCATCCAATGGCACCGCATCGAAATAGTAAGATGCTTACGGTTGCCATCATTGCTCATCTGATTTATATATCTATTAGAGGGACATAGACCAGGGTCGATAATTTTTGAGACCAAAAAAAATTATAGTAGAATGAAACCCATTAGAAAAGGTAGAGAATATAACAAAAATGAAAGGAAAAATAAATTACGGGCGATCTGAGGTCGGGAAGGGGGAGGGGGTGAGTTTTTAAGGGTAAAAAATGGTTAATCTCGATTTCCGGTAAAACTGCAAGTCCTATGAAAAAAAGTTAAATGGCAAAGTTGTAGGTAATAAAAAGATCTACAACTTTTGTATCGACACTTTTTTCACATAACCTCAAAATTTATGTAAAAAATGCGAATAACCGAGTTTTTGGTTTTTGACTTTTATTTTTTGCAAAAAAAATATTTTTTCACGAAATTTGGTGAAAACTTACCTTTGTATGTCCCAAACATACAGTAATTTTTGTGATTTAAAATATTCATTTTTTCACCTTATTTTGACTTAATATCCAAAAAGCACCCTAATTTTCAATCGAAAATTCTCACGTCAAAATATCTGCTTTTTTAAAAAAGTTGGGGTGTTTTTTGTTTGTTGAAATCTCTACTTTCTGATGGTATAAAAAAAATATACACTACTATGATAAATGTTCTCAGAAAATGCAAATTAATAATGAAAAAAACTCGAATCCGAAAATCCTATTTTTAATACCTACTTACAACAACTATTTTTGCATGTTTTATGGATTTGTAATTTTTATGTTTATCAATATAACATGAAATCTTACGTTTTTCGAGTAATTAAAGTGTAAATTTTAATAAATAGTTCAAAATTATACATAATTATTCAAATCAATTTTTCGGATTGGAGTTTTTTTCATTATTAATTTGCAGTTTCTGAGAACATTTACCATAGTAGTGTATATTTTTTTATACCATCAGAAAGTAGAGATTTCAACAAACAAAAAACACCCCAACTTTTTCATTTTTATTATATTCTCTACCTTTTCTAATGGGTTTCATCCTACTATATTTTTTTTCACTTTTCACCATTTTTAAAATTATCGACCCTGGTCTAACACTTCCACTTGTCTATATCTATATCTAGTCTTTATCTCGCCTACTCTATTATACCTCTATGGTGACAACTCGCGCCAATTTGACGTAACAACGTCATACGAGAGAAATTATATTGCCGCAACATATTCTGTCTAACCAAGGACATCGCGTTTTTATCTCCATTGTGTTTGACAGTTAGACGCGATTAAAAACGTGATATAATGTTAATTGTGATGTTCATGCTAACAGGGAATGCAGTCCTAAGTAACGTGCGAGAAAGACGTCTTCGTCGGCATGTTTCATTCGTTTCTTCAATTCTAATTCGTGACAGTACTCACTTGGTCAATTTCTTATGTAGGAAAGGAAATGAAAAATGTTGCTGAAGTCATTACATTACTAAGCAGAAGAAATGTCTTACTTGCTTATCAATACGACGGTAACTTCGCGCTACTAAAGACCTACCGTTCCAAACCTAACACAAGGATCTTCCCATGAGGGTCGTCATACGTATCGTTGGCTTTACAACTCATCAGAGCGACGACACCAAAGCTTAGAATCAGCAATGATATGCCGATCACGAAGAGCGAGGATAGGATTCCAACGCTGAAATATGGACCACAGCTGACTGTGTGTCCGAAATCCTCGCATTCCTGCTCGTCTGATGGATTTTCTGGCTTTGCCACTGGCGTTGGTGTTGATTCTGTGATTTCTGTGTCTGCTGGCGGAGTTTCTTGTGGTGGGAAGTTGTAATCTGTGTCGTCTAGTGATGGAGGATCATCCTCTGATTGCCGTCTGGCCTTGTCTGCGTTACTACGGTTCATGGATTCTGCAGAACCTTGGATATTGGTAGTTGCGCTGCGGAGGAATCGGGCGCCAACGGCGGCGTTCTGCAAAGAGAGGTCCTCATTATCAGCCTGTAAGACTAACGGATCGGATTTCTCCCGCGATCTTCTTTTGTTTAGTTTATGACCGTTTTCACCACAGAACTCAGACAGAGGTTAGAAGGGTCTTGTGGGCGGGGCAGGTGCACCACAGCTATGTGTGAGCATATGTCCATGATTTGACCAAAATTTGGTTCTGATTGCGTCGTTGCTTTCGGATGTAAGCGTTGATTGGTTCCATTGTTTGATGTCGTCCTGTGATTGGCTATTATCTATTAGGTACAAATGGTCTATGAACACACTTTTAACCACTTTCTGTATTCTGTGGTTCTCAGAGCCGCGACGGCTGAAGGAACCAGGGAGACCAGCGCGGGCGGGAGAGGGAAAAAATTGTTTCGAGCGTTTTAATCTTTAGTGTACTTAATGCTGCGACACAGGCCTTCCCTATGGATAGGACAGGTCAAACATGCCACCATGAGCTACGACTCATTTCGCGCGCCAGGTGCGGATTGGCAGGTGCTAACTACTGCAGACGCAACAGGGACCAATGGTTTAACGTCCTTCCGAAGCACGGAGAAGCTCTAGATAATAAGTTTTTGGTCACCCAACCAATAACCAATCATTGTAAATGTCGCTTCACTTCCATGATCGCAGGACGAACGTGCTAACCAGTTGCGCCATCGAGCTCATTAAATAAATATTAGAATATATTAGAATTATTGAAATAAATATTCTACCATATCATCCCTACGTCCACCGATCTGGCACCCGATGCGTCGGTGACGCCTCGGCTGTATCTGTAAAATAAAGCAGAAATTATGTGCGTAATTTCTGTGAGAAAAATATAATTATAATTGTTACAGCAGATGAAGGTAGTTTAGAATAGAAAAATATTTATTTGGTAAGTAGGAACAAAAAAAATACTATTACATACTGTAAGTGAGGGTTACTTTTTTGCTCGGGCGGGTAACTTTGTCCCAAATCAGAAAAAATATTGAACTTGCCGCCCCATCAGTATCTCTTGGGTGACCGTAATAGTTCCAGTTGAAAATCACAGATAGCCATATAGGCGCGTAGTGTGGTGTTGTTTTACCGACATCGTTCCTGTATCAAGTTGTCATTGTAACGTTGTTGGATTTTTTGTAACTGAAATAGTTCACAAGTTCATGCGCAAACTTTCTCAAAACTGTGGTTTTCGGTAAGTTTACTATTTTTTCTAAATTTAAAGTTATATTTTTTAGTTATGATTTTATTTATTTTTTAAGCATTTAACTGCTAGATGTTTAAATCTAAAGAAAAGTTTACTAGAAAAAAATCCACGCGGACCAAGCAGCGGACGGGACTCGAACCCGCATCCTTCGCTATCCGGGCGAATGCACTGACCATTATGCTACCACGGCCCTATTAGCCGCGTCGAAATTTTCCTAGCCTTAAGCTGCAAGGCAGCGCCATCTCTTCGCATTCGATTTTTTTCTAGTAAACTTTTCTTTATATTTTTTATTTAACTTAATTATTTTTGGGCAAAAACATTCATTTGCGTATTCAGTATGCTAATGATGATCTGTTATAAGTGTTACTTAACCCCAACATGGCTTAAAATGAGTTTTTTTCACAGAGAAAACTCAACGAGCTAAAGTAACCCTCTTTAAAGCCAACTTTGGCCCAAAATTAAAAAAATATATACATATATTAACCCTTAAATATTATTTTTTCCTATTTTCGTATGATAACTTTGTAACTTATACTTTAAAGTTCCCAATGGAAAGATATAAAAGTGATATATTCATCACAAAGAGAAGCTACAATTTTATTTGAAAAAAAAAGTGCACATTTTAGGTCATTTTAGGCAGTTACTCGGTACCTACAATAAAAAAAACACAAATGATCCTTCATTTGTGTTTTGTTTTAATGTAGATTTTAGGATTGCTTGGTAAACAGATGATTTCTACCCGCTCTAGGCACGGTTATTTAATCGTGTCTACGTCTGGTCGTCAATTAAGTATAAGACACTATTATGGAGGTTTGTTAATGACACCGGCGCGCGGCGCAAGCAACGGTTTGGGATCGGTAGAAATCGTACTCGTGAACAAGCCCCGCAGTCCGAAGTGCCAGATTTTAAAATACGTCCCTGCTGTTTGGTATGAATAAAGTATCAAAGTAACTATGCCAAATTTTGTGTAACAGCAAAGTTTCCGATATAAGTATAATCCTGCTCTTTGCAGCAAACTTACGATTGGCTTCCCCCCTCACCCTAGAATTGGTAAATATTTGATCTCTGATGTTCAGAGGCGGCGTAAGGCGTGGGCGACCTGGGCCACCGCCTACGGCCTCGCGGTACAAGGAGAATCGCGCCACAAAAATTTTCATGCATTGTTTAAAATTTCTTTTTTTTTATTATTTTATAAAATCCGTGTTTAGGTCGCCACTGAACCGGGCCTCGCGAAATCTGTCTTGCCCACATCAAATTTAGGTCTTGCCCCGCCACTGCTGATGTTGTACGGCTTTTAGGAAGAGTTGCCTGAATTGTCAGCGGTCTTTAAATTTGGGGGGGGGGGGGGGGGGTATGATATCTGTGACCCACTCCCTACGGCGCCTGAACAGTCCTATATTTCAAATTCATTCATAATCCGGAGAACCCTGATGTGAAATGCCAGTATATCACCTATGACTGCGAGCTCACCTTGTATTCGGATATGGTGACGGAACTGCCGTCTCTGTTGTTGATGATGACCAGGGGCTCGCCGCAGTAGAACGCGTGATGCCAGGGCGCGCCCACCGACATGGTGGTGCGGCCCACCTCCTCACCGCCCTCGAGCAACGCCACGGTATCTGACATGTTTCAAGAGATAATCATCAGTGGCAGCCTTTTTTGTGAGGCTCGATGGCGCAAATTGTCATTGTAAGCGCGTTCGGTTGCGATCGTTGAAGTTAAGTACTTTTCGCAATCGTCGGTCACGGGTGGGTGACCGACCAATTTACTATCTCGAACTCCTCCGTGCTGCGGAATGCACGCTAAGCCGTTAGTCCCAGTTAGGGTTACCATCCGTCCGGATTTGTCCGGACATGTCCGGACTTTTTGCCTTATGTCCGGACTTTGTCCGGCTTTTTAATTTGTCCGGATTGTTTTAATTAGGTGGAATATGAGTTCGATGGCGCAGGTGGTTAGCGCGTTCGGCTGCGATCGTTGAAGTTAAGCAACTTTCGCAGTGGTTGGTCATTGGATGGGTGACCAAAAAGGACAATGGTGTCGAATCTGCCATGATTCTCTAAACTTAAAACTAAATTTAAGGTCAGTCTCACCTTTTCATTCCGTATAGAGAAGGACAAGGATGCACTGTTGTCAAATTTAAGTTTAGCTTTAGAGAATCATGCCAGAATCGACATCAATGTTAAATTTGGCCTAAGAACCAACACCAATTTGGCATTTATGATAATTCTTAGTTTATTTTTTGCGATAATTATCAGTATTTAGATTGTGACGGACACTTCCAGTTAAGTAAGCTATATTAAAAAATTAAAAAATAATCCGAGACTACCATTTTATGTGTATAATCTATGGCAGCGCTGCAAACAAAACACTCTTTCTTCCTAATGCCGGCACTTCACTTGGCTATTCGTGTTTGCTTTTTGAAAACTTGACATCAGTCTGTCCTTTTTATTCCATATTAAGCATGACAAGGGTAGTTTTCCAATTACAGAGCATAATGCGACTCAGTGGCGCACAATGCCGAATTATGCTGATGCTTAATTGGAACGTGATTCAAAAAAAAGTCAATGTTTGTACCTTCATTTTTTAACACAGTTTAAATTAACTATGATTATTTTAAGAAAACTACAGTGAAACGAAAACTTTTAAAAAAATTTCAACATTAAATAATATTACTAACGATATTTAATAAATACAACATTTCGATCAATGCCAACTTAAAGAAAAAACACTTGTTAATTTTCTGTCACTGAGTTGGTACGATTGCACGCATCACACGAAAACATTACTTTTGAGAGTACTCGATTGTGCGAAGCGTTGCTGTAGTTGAAACATTCAACGATAGGGTGCGGCCAGAGTGCACTCAGATTCAGATTCAGATTCCGAAAACAAGCGCGAGAAATAAACAGTGTAGTCTAAGGGTGCGGCCAGAGTGCACTCAGATTCAGAGTCAGATTCAGATTCTGAAAACAAGCGCGAGAAATAAACAGTGTAGTCTAAGCAGGTTGCCTGCTTTTTCTCGCGCTTTGTTTTCTGAGTCCGAATCTGAATCTGAATCAGGAGTGCAATCTGGCCGTACCCTTCGACTACACTGTTTATTTCTCGCGCTTGTTTTCGAAATCTGAATCTGAATCTGAATCTGAGTGCACTCTGGCCGCACCCTAAGCAGGTTGCCTGCTTTTTCTCGCGCTTTGTTTTCTGAGTCTGAATCTGAATCAGGAGTGCACTCTGGCCGTACCCTTCGACTACACTGTTTATTTCTCGCGCTTGTTTTCGGAATCTGAATCTGAATCTGAATCTGACTGCACTCTGGCCGTACCCATAGGCATTATGCCGCATAATGCCCTGTAGTGCTGTAAGCGGAAAACTACCAATGACAGATTGTTGTCAAGTGAAGGGCTAAAACTCGATACTCTGTGGTTGTGGTACAGGCAGTTTGCATTCGTGGATTCTCGTTTCGGATTTCACAACAGGTGTGTGTGTTTATTTGCGATTGTTTTTTCTTTAATTTAACTATTTCGGCTATCTAATATGCCATCGATGTTAACAACATCCTGAGAGGATCATGCATACTGCCAAATTATTCAAGAGCAGCTGATACACATTCACGCTGCATATTTATACAATATACATGTGATATACAAATAAAATACAGTATGATACAATTATGTGAAAAATAGTTAAAAATAAGAAGCAAAACTACAGTTTTTATTTTATTCATGATTCCTACCTTACCAAGTTTTTCCTAATAACTACTTAGTTATTCTTTAAAATCGCATCGAATAAAAATGAATTTGTTGTAATATTAATTCAATTGAACTAAGTTCATATTAAGTTCATAGGTTGACCTATGTTTCATTTAATATTAAACATAACCTCAAAAAATATTAAGTTTTCAATAATCTTTGTTTTTATAGTCATTTACTTGCAATTTCGAACCTAGAAAATGTTTCATGATTGTTGGTTCTTAGGCTAACAATGTATGGACGCAGAACAATGTCCTTTCTATCTCGAGTTCCTCCGTGCTTCAGAAGGCACGTTAAGCCGTTGGTCCCGGTTGCATCTGCAGTCGTTAGCACCCGCCAATCCGCACTGGGCCCGCGTGGTGGGTCATGGCCCAATTCATAGGGAATTCCATCCATAGGGAAGGCCTGTGCCCCAGCAGTGGGGACATTAAGAGGCTGATGATGATGAGTAAAATACTTATTAAGTAATACAAAGGCAACGGATTTACATAGCCTTGCACCTTTTTAAAAAAAAAACTTTTAAATTATATAATTATGCATATAAAAAATCGTTAGTGTTTGGCATCCACTTCTCAGATAAAGGACCCAGTTGAAAACCAGCGCCATTGCATACTGCACTGACATTATGCTGAAGCGAAGCCGTGGATACGGAGTGGTATCGATTGGGCATCACTCAGTCCTTTTCATTCACTATACGTAGTGACAGGGATACGCTGCTGTCAGGTTTAAGTTTGCGTTTCGCCTGTCCCAATAGACGAAAATAAACTACTACTTAAGTTTGCGTTTGGGGGGTCGTGCCGGGATCGAAGCCAGTATGGTATACATATGTTAAGTGGTATTTATTATAGATGTCTGTTATCTTACTGTCATTTTGTAAAGTTATAAGTATAACAATTTATCTGTATCCGTGTACTGTGCTGAATAAACAATTTTCATTTGATTTGAAGTTATATCAAATAATCTTTATTAAGTTCTCATTAATTTGAAACAAAATATAAATCATCTTTAAAAATCAACGAGATCGCGATCCCCCATCGCGATGCGAGCGTCTGCTACCACGCGTATATCACAGTAACTATAAGTGGTAGTGGTGGTTAAGGTGATATTTGCAGTTCGTGACTAAAATATCCGGACTTTTATCGAAATGTCCGGCTTTTTGTCAGGACTTTTCAAATTTATTAAATAGTAACCCTAAAGTAGAACTTTTTATTAGCTGCAGTAAAATGACGTTTTGTGGGTTACCGCTTTTTGAAGAAAAATAAATAGGGATGTAGTTAAGTGAGTAAGTGAATCATTCAATAAATGAATGATCAGTTTGGTTTCGTTTAAGAGATTTAATATTAAGTTGTAATGATTTTTTGACGTGACAACGTCTTAAATTAGGTTGCGGCTGGGAGTCACTTATGAAAAAGTGTAACGCTCGGTAACGTTACGATGAGTCTCTCGTGTTAAGTTTAAGTTTACATGTACAATGTTTTAGTAAACAAAATATATTTCTATAGTTAAAATTTGTGCAATTCTTATTTTCATTCAATTCCTTGTTCCTATTGTGCAATTTAATTATATTCATATCAATAAATATTCTACCGAGAAAAAGACGTTGTCACGTAAAATCTTCGCCCGTAAAACCGACTTTACAGGCAACCATTTTTTATTCTATTATTCTTACTATAGCAATGGATTGATCTTTTTTATTGGAAGTATCGGGACGTACATCCAAAATTAAACAAAAAGTCATAACAATGTTATTTATTAATCAAATATTTTCGGGATCACTATCGCTGTCGCTTTCGGTCACACTAATGACAAATCTGTCTATCATTTCATCAATAATATGATCGAGGTGGCACATTTTGTCTTTCTCTTTTATAGTGTTAAACACACAGTCACTCCACTTAACCGGTGTCACTTTGTTGATTCCTTCTTGGAATAAAGTTTTCACTTATTGCATTTTATATGTTTTATTAATGTTTGCGACGTGCCCCTTTACCTGAGCCCAACCAACTCGATGGGGTTCAATTCACAGTGTTAAGGTGGCAGTTTTAAAAGTCTGATACCTTTTTAAGCAGCAATCTCGTCCACGGCATATTTCTCAGTATGATTTTGTTGTTTCACAATATCTATGAGAGTGGCCTTCACTATATTTGGTTCAAATGTAATATTTTTAGTGGTCAGCCACTCTTGAATCTAATTGGTTAAAATTCCACATCGGGTGGGAGAAAACATATTATACCTAACGTATAATAAAAATATTAGTGATTACAGGTAAACTAACTTTTGCGATGGTAGGTACTTCATTTCTATGAAAGAACTGATGTACAATTCGTCTAATATCGGTGAATATGAAATCATCAGCTTTTTTTAAATGTAATTTTTGGGCCAGGTTTTCCGGGAGGTTTTGGTGATTTACAGTCGTTCTCCTTGTGCTCCTTTAAACAAAATAAACAGTGCGGACGGATATTTCCAAGACTTCAGCCATCTTGTTGACGCATACACTTGTTTTTCGAACTTCAATATTTGATTCTGTAGATTTCACTTTAAACACATATTTGTAAACGTTTCTGACCCAAAGTTTCTCGGTTACACTACAACTACACGTGGCCTTTTTTCCTTAGGAAATAGAAATGTATCTCTATCTTGTAATATGCTCAACTGAGCATCCATGTCTTCGATGTAACAAACAAGAAAAAGCTGACACGATTAAGAAAAAGTAGGTAACGAAAAACAAACATATCGTAACAAAAATTTAACAATAATGATAACTAAAACAACTCGCAGTGGGCAAAGCAAAATTATTCGTGCACTCAAAACAGAAGTTAGAAGCCGAATGAGCGAATGACAAATGAAATAAAATGGCGGACAAGCCTCATCGTAGCACCGTAACTAAAAACCAGTACCAACTTGAGATTTTATACAGCCTTTTATTTATATGAATAATAAATAGAATTAAGTATGATCATTATGAGTTAGTTATGGAACGATTAGATTTTCTGTGTAAACCTAATCACATCCCTATTGAAATCAGGCGGTCAACATTATTTTACGGAATGACATTTTGAAACGTCATTTTACTGCAGCTAATAAAAAGTCGAAGTATAGTCCCAGTTGCATCTGCAGTCGTTAGCACCCACCAATCCGCACTGGGTCCGCGTGGTAGGTCATGTCATGTTCTACTCTCGCCTATTCCATCCATAGGGAAGCCCTGTGCCCCAGCAGTGAGGACACTAATATGCTGATGATGAGGACATCCTTTTAATGCCCCCACTGCTAGTTACAGGCCTCCCCTTTGGATGGCTTAGGGAGATTTTAACATGATCAAGCAGGCGAGCCCAACATTGCGGATTGTGTAGTACTTAAACCACAGAACGCAGAGATAGTTTGGGCTGTTCTCAGATTTATCGCAAAATTAGTAGAAATTTCGTCTAGATCTTTAATTGACTACATCGCATAATGACTAAGATCGCAAAATGACTAGATCTTTATTTGCATATTCATCGATGCTCATCAGAATCAGTGGTGGATCACTAAATAGCTGTGATTATCACATCCATCTGTCAAAATAGGCCTACTGGTGGGCCCAGTGCGGATTAGTGAGTTCCAAAAACTTTAGAAGCAGCCGGGAACGATAGCAACGGATTAATGTGCCTTCCAAAGCACGGAGGAGCTAGGTATAGGAGCAGAGATTTTTTTTCATGAACAGTGCTACGCCCATTTCTAATACTAGGTCGTACAAAAATATCTTTTAGTGAAGAGTCCCTTCACTCTAGTAGATTTCGTATGCCATCAACGCAATTACTCTGCTAGGGCTTGTATTGTGAACAAAATTAAATCAATATTTACTGAGCCTTGTATTTAAGGAAATATTGTATCAAAGATTGCCTTGTAAAACCAGTCCAAGCTGATACAAGGTTCTTCTGTTTTAAACTTTCATGGTCACTAACATTATAGATATTAACGGGATTGTTACCATGTACCTTGTTTTTTATGAGTCTCCGATATTTCGGCACTGTTACAAGCGCCTTCTGAACCGAAGCTAAGCCATTTACGAAGATTTAATTTAAGATATAAGTACCAAGTAACCAGTCCTTTTCTCTTAGAAGAAAGTTGAACTGCAGATCAAAATCAGAGTACGCCATCTTGGTGGACAGCGATTCAGAGTTTGACGTCTCCTCTGCCACCATCGGGATCTGGTTGAAGACTGCGCGACGCGTGAAAGTCGAAGCAAATACACCTGTTGAATATAACGTCATCATCATTATCATTTCAGCCGTACGACGCCCACTGTTGAGCATAGACCTCCCCTTAGGATCTCCACATCGATCGGTTCTGTGCCACGCGCATCCATCGGCTCCCCGCCATCTTCACCAGATCGGCGGTCCACCTTTTATACGGTCGGTTTTTTTAACGCAGGCAAAACCTCTATTTACAGACGACGGCACCTTTAAAAGGCACACCGCCGAAGGGACCTCACACCTGGCTCCCGCAAGACTTACGAGCCCCCGCAGTGGCTACCCACTGAGGAGCCCGTAACTCATACGGGCGCTTTACGGTATAATATCCGCTAAAAACCCTGCGCATACCCCCTACGCTGCTTGGTGGAGGGCACAGGACACAGAAAGAGGTGTTCTGTGGTGGAGGGTCTTCCCACCGAGCGTCGGCCGGTGCTTGGTTAGTCAGAAAAGTAGAAAGTTCGGTAGAAGGTTTGAATCCCTCCTGAATTCACCTGAGACGGTTTCGTTAAATTAATTTTCCCACAAAAACTAAAATGGAAATACCTAATACCTACCTTTTGGTGGTGTTGTGTTTCTGCTGGTGAGTGGGATTCCGGAGCTCCGCGGCAAGGGCGGATCCAGGGGGGGGGGGGGTCATGGGGGTCACGACCCCCCCCCCTGGGCTGGGTCCATCTGTACCCACTTCACAATCTGTACTTCCAATCTGTACCCACTGTGACTTGATCACGACTATATGACCCCCCCCCTGGCGCCAAAGCTGGATCCGCCCTTGCTCCGCGGGGTGGGGGTTTGGTTTCAGGCCAGCAAGGTGACGATGGCTGGAGAGGCACACCTTCTGCCGCATCATCTATTTTCATGACTGAACCTCAATTACACTTAACATCAGGTGAGGTGGGTTAATTTGCTGCGCCTCGTATAAAAAACAATACATGACATAGCTAACCTACAAATCGGTATAGAGCTCCATCGGTAACAACCATCACACCAGGGAACTTGGTTTCCTCTAAAGGAGCGATGGGCACAAATTCCACCTTCTCTCTTTGCACAGGGTTCATTTTCCCCGTGTAAAAAGCAAACACTGGCCCGTTGACCAACTGCTTCATAACCGTGTACACTTCTCTCATGATCAGATCATGTCTCCTTAATACCTCCGCTCTAGTTTCATTCTTGCCATCACGGAAAAATATATAGAGATGCTTGAACTTCCCTTCCAGCATTTTAAGATTCATCCCAGAGCTAAGATGGAACACGTTGAATTGGTGCGGTTGGAATACTTGGTTCAGCAATTTGTACGGATCTATGACCTTCGGTAAATACTTTACTTTCTTTTCGATAAGCCCTACTTGCAGATTACGATAGGGAGTCCCCAAAGCGTCCTTAGTACTGATATCTTCGACGGACAACTGGTCTTCTACAAATACTATTACAACTTCGCTTTTCTTGATCACGCCATGAACAATATCAGCGAAGAAAGCAGTGCTGATTTTGGAGAAGGGGTTTGGCTCTATGTTCACATCGTCCAGGACGCTGCTATGGTCTATTAGAAACACTGGGATGATGTCCCTATCGCACAGTACTGGTTGAAAAGGGTAAGAAGAAAGTAGGAAAATAATTATAATCAGCATTGTGTTCAAGTATTAAAACTTATTGGCTTAAGTTATTAAACTGCGCAAAGAACAAGAAATTAGGCTTTCAGTAATGCTTTTTACACCTCCAGACGCCATTCGTTGAAATTGATAGATCCAAAAGAGCATCCAAAAAGCATACTGTCAAGGTAGCTTCCAAGTACTTTCAACAAGAAGATTAAATATAAATGAGCAAGTTAAAATAAATTGAATTAATTTATGAACGAAATTACAAAATGGTTTTTGGACGAAATTACAAATGGCGGCTCTGGTGAAACGTCAAACGCGTCAATTAATTTTTCTTAGGGTTGTGACATTGAGTGAATAAAGCGATTAGCTAAGAATCGATTTACTGTAACAATTCCGTTAATAGCTATAAAATTCAATATGATTAATGATTAAATCGGATATTGTATAATTTAAAATAAGATAAACAAATATATTTGATTTTATATTTATTTTGATCAAGTAAATCGATTCTTAGCTATTAGCTTTATTGTCTCCGATATTTCATTTTCATTTCATGTTCACGGAGAAACTGAAGTAATTGAGGGAAGATGTTATTGGCAGACACATCCATCTACCCTCTGACATAGTCTTTTACTGCACTCGATACTTGATACCCCTACTACTGGTCACATTCTTACTATTCACTCGCACCTGTTCCCGACACACAATACTCACAGTATCAGATCGCAGAACGACACTTTTTTGATTTTTAAGGTTTTTGCACTTACGAAGTAATATATTCTAATAATATTTTCTTTAGAATTAAACATCGAACAGTTACATACCTTAAAAGGCCTGCCTAAGGCTAAAGGCTAGAAAAAATTCAACACGGCCATCAGGGCCGCGGTAGTATAATTGGTCAGTGCATTCGCCCGGATAGCGAAGGGTGCAGGTTCGAATCCCGTCTGCTGCCTGGCCTGTTTGGAATTTTTTCTAGTAACATTTTCTTTAGATTTATACTTCGAGCAGTTACATACCCTAAAATTTAAATTATAACTATAATTGCCATTCCTTCTTTCAAACGTTTAATACTTGTAAAGGTATTCATTTGACAGTGTGGGTTACCTACAATGCGTAGAGATGGCGCTGCCTTCCAGCTTAAGAAAGGCTAGAAAGAATTCGACACGGCCATCAAGGTCACAGTAGTATAATTAGTCAGTGCATTCGCCCGGATAGTGAAGGGTGCGAGTTCGAGTCCCGTCTGCTGCCTTTGATTTAAACCTTGTATATTTCTAATCATTTCTGTAATGTGCTTGTCTTTTGATGTGGGCGATAATAACTGTAACACAGTCCTAGACTACTACGGTTGTTAACGCTAAATAGTTACATTGTATACTTGTCATGGTTCAGAAATGAAGATTATTATTATTATAATTTCGTGATTATGGCGTTTTGTAATTGTGTTTTTGAAAGTATCGATTTAAATAAAATCGCTAATTCCTAATAAGGTATCTCTATTTAATCGTTTATTTTTTCACAACCCTACTGCTTTTGCTTGCTGGCGTTGACACTTTGACAGTTTTGAGTATTTATTTGGCGGCCGCATTATTGAGTAATTGCAAGTGATTACTATTTATTGATAACGTTTATCAGTGCGTTCATGTGTTAAAAGGACCCCCCTTTTTACTACAATTGGCAGATAGCAGTAAGTTTCATTGAATTTAACTGTTACTACATCATGAAATAACCAACCGCTCTTCCCGGAATCTAGTTGGAGGTTTGGTTCCGATTAAGAGGTAAATTTGAAAAGATATAATCTTATAAGCCGGCTAATTCATAATTACACTCATCAATAATAATCACAGATTGCGGAAAGTTTACAGCGAATCTATAATATAGCATAAATCGTCATTTTATGTAGCATTTCGATCGAGTAAATCGAAGAATAAAAGAGTGCTTTTCCTTATTTTGTAAACGTATTAAGCGTAAGAACCACCTAAGAAACAAAAATATATTATCAATGCAGTAAAATTATTCATTATTATTCTTCAAGCATTGATTTGTACGAAAGTTTTGTTTTTAAATTCATGTATTAAATTATAAATAAATATTTCCAACACTCACACCAATTAGCCTAGCTCCAAAGTAAGCACGTTTAGGCTTCTGTTATGGGATACTAGGGTAACGGATAGAATACATATACTGTACATATATAATATTTTATATAGAAATACATATTAAACATCCATGACTGGAGTACAAATGCTCGTATTCATCAAAAAAACATCTGCCCCCACCAGGATTCGAACCCAGGATCTCTCGAGTCAGCGACACCATGAAACCCGGCGTACAAACCACTCAGTCACGGAGGTCGTCGAATTATAAAAGTATTTAATTGTTATGCAGCAGATATTAATGAAACTGTCATCACTAGCACTGATTTGTATTATACTAGTGCTAGCATAATGCAGATGCACTGAATTATCCTTAATTTTATTTTGTTTCTAATATTGGTTGTAATAGTTGTAAAATATGTGAATTTTTCATGCTCTGGACATTTGTGCAAGTCATGAGCATTAATGTCTAGTGCAAAATTGTAGATTTTGTGCTGAAAATGAGTCCTTTATTCCAAAGGTTTATGTTACAGCATATTCATATTCAGACCCGTCTTTCCCAGTGGGCACTTTGGGCAAGTGCCCAGGGCCCTGCGATCAATAGGGGCCTCCCTCTGATCAAATACAAAGTCCCTTGTTCGTAGGGTCCCATTATCCTAATATGCCCAGGACCTCCAATAGGTCAAAGACGGCACTGTTCATATTATACACAAATAAAATAACATAAATCAGCTAATCCATAATAGAGAGACGAACATGCTAGACTTTCAACTATGAATCCGAGATCCCAGATCTCATATATTAATTTCAATGCCTATACATACCAGGAGATCTGAAATAGATAATAAACGATTAGTAATATAGTTAACGCTATGTCTCATTTGCTAATCATAAAATGACAAGTTATTACATCAAATTTAATTAAATGATACTAATTTGATTGGTTTGTATGAGAATGTGTAAAATGATCACTAAGATAAACTGTAATCCTTGTCAAACTTAAGAATTCATAAATAAAACTGGGCTCTGGCAACACTGGCCGGTTAACATGTCAAATCACATCAGCTGTTTTAAAATTCTAATTTGACTTGATTTGTGAATGAGAATGCATAAAATGATGACCACTTTGATAAAATCTAATTAACGTTAACATTAATATGTCAGTCAAAGTTAAGAATTTATATACGAAACCTACTTTAGATGTTTCATAGATATGCCAGTAGTTTAGACCCACAGTTCATTTAATTTTCAATTTTTAACACTGTAATAATAGAGCTTTAAAAATTTGTATATTTTTAATAGCTTCATTATATATTTGTATATGACATGATAAGACTTTCTGCTTGCTTGTGCAGACGAAGAAAATCTAAGCATGACAATACTTTTTTAGCTAGATTTCTTATTACATTTCAGTTGAATGTCCAAAAGCAAAAGTTGCTGATATTAAAAATGACCTTAGTAGTTCAAGTTGTCTCTACCACAAAATACAGATTAGTAACTCCAAAGTACTGATTTACCAAATATGCAAATAAACATCAAACTTTAAGTCATGATCTTGAAATTGTCCATAATGCAGGTCCGAGCATTTTGTTCTCCATACTTAAACTTTTTATAAATAAAAGTATTTATTTAAAATAATACTGAAATTAACACATATACTTATTAATACAGGGTATGCACAAGAAAAATATGTCCTTTTTTGTAGTTTTGGCCACTAGGACTGGGAATGCCAGTCTCATAGGCACTTTAAGGCGCTTTGCAGACGCCGGGGCGGGGCGGGCCGGTCAATTTCGCCGCGAACGATAGCACAAAGTGGATCCTATATTACAAACGCACACAGAGGGCAAAAAGACCGCGCCGCAGGTACTGGCGGCGCGGCATGTCCGCGGCTGCCCGCCGTGGATCATACAAACCAGTTTATATGCAGTAACGCAGACGGCGGCGCGGGGCGGTCAGCTCAGTCCGCGTCACGCGCTTTTTAGTGATGGACTATTCACTAGAACGAACCTCCTGAACTGACCGCCTCTGCCCGTCGTGTGCTTTGTGTACGCGGCGTGGGCGGCCGCAGACATCGACGGGCAGACGCGGTTTTTATTGCTTCGCGGACAAAATGCCCGCCCCGCCCCGTCGTCTGCAAAACGCCTAAAATACCCAATTCATGACACACATTATACAAGCATTACCTCAACTGGCTTTTGCTTTAAAATGCTTTGCCAGCTCCCTTCCTCCTGTCAATGGGATCCTTTAAAAGAGGAGCGAAGTAGCAATATGCAGGCCGGCAAGGTGGGATGGCTGGTTCAGTAGGTAGAACTGCTGTACCAGCTATCTTCGCATCTGGACTCCTCCTTTCATTAACATCAGGGAGGTGGCGTCATCTGTTGGAGCTGTTTATAAAAAAATAAATGGGCTCTGCAAGCCAAGCTATTCGTTAATTTAATAGGGATGTTGTTGGTGTTAGAATTGGTGCACTCCGAAGTGAAATACATAAATGAAAATTTTGTTTTTAATGGTTTAATAATAGTAATAATCCCTATCAGGTTGTAGAATTTGTTTTTTGATATGCCCCAAAGCGTATTCTGAATGCTGATACTAAAATAATGAGCCTAATTCACATTTAAGTTGATTCATAATTCTGAACCTCGCAAGAAAGATGGTCAGACCCGTCTTTCCCAGTGGACACTTTCAGGGCCCCGCGATCGATTGGGGGCCCCTCAGATCAAATACAAAGTCCCTAGTTCCTGTTAAATCACCATAGGGGCCCCATTATCCTAATATGCCCAGGGTCTCCAATAGGTCAAAGACGGCACTGAAGATGGTAGTGTTCTTGGGCAGTTTATAGTTATATAGTAACAGTATACATTATTTACTTATCTTTACTTGAGATGTAAATGTTTTAATTGTTATCTTTACTTGAGATGCAAATGTTTAAATTCACTATTCTGACAAAAAAAAGTAGTTGATAATTATGATATAATATTACCAAAAATCATGAATTAGAAAAGTATTATTTGATATATTGTCATGTCACCGAAAACTCCTAGGACATGCTGACATTATTTGTACCTTGACGTTTTAGTGTCGTGTGACGTCACCTGCCTGTAAACACACCCCATTTGCTAGAGAAACGTTTCCGCTGCTTGTTTAAAAACGGAATTTTTATTTTCGATTTTTTACTGATATACCCAACAGAGTTACGTATGAACGTTTCCAAATACCCGTCGAATAGTCTAATTCCCCGGCGAGATGTCATGTCTTCAATGAATAATGATTTGGAAAATGCTGCGGCGTAGTCAACCCTACAAAAACTGCCCAGAGCAGGAGAAAAAGTTTTTTTTTTCGAATCTGTCACTCCATATTCGAGGCAGGTCGAAAGTACGCGGCGACATTGAGGCGACATTGACAGTCAAAGGCTATCTATCATTCACGTGGCCTCACCGAGCGCTCGACC